GGTTCCAGCGGGCTGAATGGGAGCCCACTTATTTTTGTGTTGTCCAACGGGTTCCCACTAAAAAAAGGGAAACGTTTCCCCACGGTGCACCGGCCGAGCGTTTCGGCCGGTCCCGCGCACGCAGCTCGATTGGGTAGCGATCCAGCGCTCCCGCACCTCCGGATCCACGTTGTGTCTTTTTTCCTTGGCCCATCACGTGACCTTGGCCCACCATGTTTACTCGGTCAGCTCTTTTTTTCACCAACCGCTCAAGCTGTGGGGTAGGAAAAATATCTACAACTGCAGACGGACGGAAGTTGCATCCGTTTTTTGCTACAAAGACGACATTTGTTTGCTGCAACTGTTGTTGTCTTTTTGCTACGATCAGCGTGTTTTTTTGCTACATCCATTTTTTTAATGGTGATGATTGGTGGCCGGCGTTCGTGCAGATGACTGGGACAACGATTTTTGCTGCAACTATCGTCGGATTTTGTTACAACTGACGAAGAAATTTGCTACATTAATTCATGGCAGAGATGCACCCGGGACAACAACAACGATGATTTTTGGTTGCAAATGTCGTTGTCTTTTGCTACCACCAGAGAGGTTTTTGCTACATCTATCTTAATGGTGATGTTTGGTGGCCATCATTCGTGCAACCCGTGCAACGAACATCGACGGTGGAGAAAAGCTTCAACTATCGATTTCTTGCCCAAATGAAAAAAGCTGCAACCGTTTACATGAAAGCTTCAACCCTACATTTAAAAAGCTTCAACCCATAAACTTTTTTGCTGGAACCAACTACTGTATTTGTCGTTGATTCTTTTTTGCTGGAACCAGTGTTTTGTTTTGCTACCACCAACGGCTTCATTTGCTACCACCGGCGACATGGTTTGCTACCACCATATGCAGCGGCCGGTCGACGTCAATGTTTTTCTTGCTACAACAGTGTCATGTTTTTGCTGCAACCGGCAGCCACAGAAGATACAATCGGTTAACATTTTTGCTACAATGGCGCCGGCGAGCTTTCAATTTGTTGGAAGTGTTGCCCTTTTTTGCTACAACCGGTCGTTCTTTTTGCTGCTACCGACACCCCGATGGAAGTACAGTTTTCT